GCACAAAGGCAGAACATACCACGCAGAAAACTCATTTCAAACAACAATTACCCGAAATGGATAATTATTTAAAGAATATTATTGGACAAAGGAAGGCTATAGGTAGGAGAATTAATTGTGGTGAAGTTTACCTCCGAGATTATTATAAAGTATTGGTCAGTAGGGTTAAGATTGAGAAACAAAAAGCAAAGAGGAATAATAAACTGAAGATAGCAAGGGAGGCAAAATCAAACTCCAAGGGATTCTATCAAATGTATCAAACTAAAACACGAGAAAAGATTGGGCCAATACAGTCAGATACCGGCGAGCTAACTGATAATGACGGAGAAATGAGCAATAATTTGAATAAATATTTTTCAACAGTTTTCATCACGGAAAATTTAAACGTGATACCCGAGACACCGACTATACAGAGATAGTGAAGAAAATAGTGACTAGTAATGATGTTAGTAAGCAAATAGACAAACTAAAGCCTAATAAGTCACCAGGTTCCAATGAGATACAGTATTTGCCCGAGTATTAAAGGAATGTAAGGAAGAGCTTAGTATGCCCTTAGCAAAGTTGATTAACATGTCCTTAAAAATGGGTGTAGTACCAGAATCCTGGAGGATAGCAAATGTAATAACGATTTTCAAGAAGGGAGATAGATCACTATCCTCTAACTACCATCCAATCGGTCTAACATCAATTGTAGGCAAATTACTGGAAGCAATCATTTCAAACTATTCAAAATCACCTGGAGAAGCACAAGTTGATCAATGATTCCCAACATGGCTCGTATTAGTCTGTCAGTAATATTATATAAATATGAGCTAAGGACATACACTCATTATATACCTTTTATCACCCAGACTATACAGCTACATAAACATTTGTTCTGCCACACCTTCTCGGGTGTACAGCCCTCAACCCTCAGTGTGTGGGTAGACTGTTTAGTTAATGACTGCGTTGAAGTGTGGTTTATCTCTAGTCACCAGACTCAAGAGAGTACAGCCCAGTTCTCACCAGTTCACAGCCCGGCACGATGCCTTAAAGTCGTGTCGAGAAGACCAGCTCTCCGGGCTGTGCTTCTCTCTAAATATATCAGCTAATTACAAGCTAATAGCTAATGCTCATTAGTCTGTCAATACCAAATAATTGTACAGACATGACTTCCCAATATAACTAGAAAACACCACGTGTGTTTACATTAAACCAAGGAACAACGAGTGAAGATAACATTACCTGTGTGTCTTGTTGAACTTACAAGATAAGATAATTACAAGTACGTATAACCCAGGACAGCTGTGACGGTATCAACCAATCTACGATTGTATCAAAGGTAACATGTTGTGAGATTACCTGATATCTCACTCAGCTGCATCAAAGAAGATATTAAAAAATGGATTAGGGCATGGTTATAGGACAGGAAACAGCGAGTGAGCATTAACGGCACTAAATCCGATTGGAGCAACGTCACAAGTGGAGTACGGTACCCCAAGGCTCAGCACTTGGACCATTATTATTTATTATATATATATATATATATATATATATATATATATATATATATATATATATATATATATATATATATATATATATATATATATATATATATATATATATATATATATATATATATATATATATATATATATATATATATATATATATATATATATATATAAATGACATAGATATCGGCGTAGACAGCAACATAAGTAAATTTGCTGATGACACTAAAATAGGGTGTGTACTGTAATTAAATCTGACGAGGACTCCACAAAACTACAGGAAGATCTAAAAAAAAAATTTGAATGGTCTGAAAAATGGCAGATGAAATTAAATGTGGGCAAATGTAAAGTACTTAGTCTAGGAGATGTAAACAGGGAAGCCAGATACCAGATGAACAACGATGTTAATGAGAATTCCGACTGTGAGAATAAATTAGGAGTAATGATAAATAGGAATCTTGAGCCAAGTAAACAATGTGTATTTGCTCAAAACAAGGCTAATTAAGTACAGTACTTGGATTAATACAAAGGAGTGTTAGCTACAAGACTAGCGAGGTAATCCTAAAACTACATCTTGCGCTTGTGAGACCTCACTTGGATTACGGAGTTCAATTCTGGTAACCGTATTACAGAATGGATGTAGAAACCTTTTAAAGAATTTGGTATTTTTGCGTTTACACACCGCACATTCCTACCACTAATCTATTATCATATTCGAATAAGACGTCTAATTATTAGAAAATTTTCATCTATTACATTACCGGCGGAAATGTATAATAACAGAGAGAGCGTATCCAAAATTTTCTTTATTTTCATTCCTTAATCTTGTGCCATTATCACCTGCCTCACCTCCAACACTGTGTCTCCTGCCTTCTCCTTCATAAATCATCACGTGCATGCATGCGTTCCCATACACGTCACGCGACCAATCAAAAGCGTTTTTTTTGCAACCAATTAAAATGATTTGTGGTTTAATTCGAGGTATTTTTGGCCCAATCAAAATCGATTTTTATTTTGGGTCTCTCATATTTCCAAATTCAAGTTCAGTTCCGACCAAGGAAGTCCGTGATGGGTGTCACTTAAATTATATGGAGCCGATTGCGAGTTTTTGGAAAAAAAAACCGAAGAAACTGTAGCATTTTCTCGATCGCATGGTGTTCTTCCAACCTCAGTAAAGTGTACTAAGAGCAAGACTGAATGTAAATATCACAAAGACCAACATATGTGGCGTTGTGTAAAAATCTCAGAATCCAACGACGATTAAGAACCAGGCCATTAAGTTAAGAAATGGGTGATTCCATCATTTGGTGAGTCAGTTAAGTTAGGTTAGGTTTTTGTTTTTCTAGTGTTTCTTGGTGTATTTTTTTTCCACTTAGCCATTAATTTTTTTCGGAAAACGTCCAACGAAAAAAATCTATAAAAAAAAAAAAAACGGTAATTTCCGCCATAAATGAAGGTCATATTCGGTCTAAACACACACAAATACACTAGAAAAATAAAATTTTGACTTTCTAACAGTGCGGTGTGACAGTGCAAATTTACCAAGAATTCAGAGGAGAATAACAAGACTAATCCCGGGCATTAGGAACCTTGAGTATAGAGACAGGTTAAAGCATCTTAATTTGCACTCCCTCGAGAGACGTAGAGTGAGGGGTGATATGATCGAGGTGTATAAATGGAAGTCAGGGCTGAACAAAGATGATATAACAAAGGTACTCAAACTATCAACCAGGAACGAACTCATGACAATGGTTTTAAATTCGGGTAAATTTGCACTTCCACCTCACCATCTGTTAAAAAGTCAAAAATATATTTTTCTAGTGTACTTGAGTGTGTTTAGACCGAATATGACCTTAATTTCCGTCGGAAATTGACGGTTTCTTTATCAATTTTTTTTTCGTGGGACGTTTTTCGAATAAAAATAATGGATAAGCGAATAAAAAATACACCAAGAAACACTAGAAAAACAAAAACCAAACATAACCTAACTGACTCTCACCATATGATGGATTCACCTATTTCTTACCTTATTGGCCTGGTTCTTGTTCGTCTTGGATTCTGAGATTCTTACACAACGCCACATATGTTGGTCTTTGCAATATTTACATTGACTTGCTCTTAGTACACTTTATTGAGGTTGGAAGAACACCATGCGATCGAAAAAATGCTACAGTTTCTTCCTTTTTTTCCCAAAAACTTGCAATCAGCTCCATATAATAGAAGTGACACCCATCGCAGACTTCCATGGTCGGAACTGAACTTGAATTTCGAAATATGAGACCCAAAATAAAAATCGATTTTGATTGGGCCAAAAATACCGCAAATTAAACCCAAAATCATTTTAATTGGTTGCAAAAACGCTTTTGATTGGTCGCGTGAAGTGTATGGGAACGCATGCGCGTGATGATTTATGAAGGAGACAAGCAGTGTGAGAGGTGAGGTTGGCGATAAATGGCGGAGATTAATGGAAGAAAATCGAGAAAATTTTGGATTTGCTTTCTCCGTTATTACACATTTGAGACGGTTATGTAATAGATGAAAATGATCTTATAATTAAACGTCTTATTAAAATATGATCATAGATTAGTGGTAGGAACGTGGAATGTTTAAACGCAATAATACCTAAATTAGACAAATTTAAATTTAGGCACAAAATAGGTAAACATTGGTTTGGAAATAGAGTAGTGGACGAGTGGAACAAGTTACCAAACATCATCATTAACTAGAATACGCTGGATAGCTTCAAACATACAGTAGGTTGGATGGATATTATGAGCAATGGGGTTGGGTGTAAACGGGACTGCCAAGTATGGGCAGTAGGCAGCTACCAAACAGGGAGGTACTACTGCATGGGAAGCTTAATGGTAGACCCTGTTGTCATATGTGACCAAGTCCCAGGTTGCTTATCTGACTTTCTACCTCATTTACACACACAAATGCACAGGGTTTCAATTGTTTCTCTTACTTTGACAACACAACATACATATACAGTAATGTTTCTCACTATTGATTTTTCTTCTTTATGGTTCTTTAATATTATTATTATTATTATTATTATTATTATTAGTGTTATTACTATCATTATAATTTTATTATTTTATTTTGATTTTTTGTATTTATTATAAATTTTATTTACTATGAATTATTATTATTATTACATTTTCTCCCCCTATAGGGCCCTGCTGTGGGTCAGTGACCTGTGTGGGCTATTAATCCCCGTACAAAACAACAACAAAATGGACAAATAGGCTCTACTAGCCTATAAAAATAGCCACCATATCCTAACTACGTTAAAAATCAAACCAATTCTTTAAACCTCTGTGTATTTTGTGGGGTTATAAATATTGAGGTAATTAAATGGTTCGTAGCGAAGCATTTAAATCACCTCACCATAAACAATGTCGTGTTTACGATATATCAGCCCAAAATATTAGTTAAATAATAAGTAGGGTGAATCATTGTCAAATATATGGTGTAATATCATCTATAAAGTACAGTACATACCGACTTATTTCCCGTCCACACAAATGGCCGCGACTTCCTCATCCAGCGGCCGCCATCTTGGATGTGTTCGAGTTCCTGCGTCAAGTCACCAAACTTTTTATATTAATCTTAAATTATTTACGAATGATTTGTATTTTGTATTTTAAATATATGTGTAAATAATACCAATTGAAATATTAATCTATACCATAACGGTATATTACATTAATTATTAATACGCTCCTTTGAAGGAATGTCAACTGTTCGTACACCTCAAATCACTCACTTGTCATCCTCGTTTAAATGATTGATAATTGCATATTTATTGAGTAAAATCATCATATAACTTTACAGTTAATTTGACATGTATGCAGAAATTAAAGATATACAGTTCAGTATGCATATAGACAACGCAGGTACACAGTATACATACCTAGACTGGCTGGAGGTAACGAGCTGTTCACTGTTGCGCCTCACTCCTTGGCCCGGGTCAATGTGAGACCTTAAGGTTTTATCCAGAAATGGCATTGGATAATGAAGGACAAACTCAACAGGAACAAATGAGGATTAAAAATGAATGGGCAAAGATGAAATACACATATAGTAATGTAGCTTCATTTAAAAGATTCAATTGTCACAGTTTGTAAAATTGAAGGTCAGCCTTCACAACTCCTGAGCCATAGACGGCAGTTACCATCCCATCCCAGACCCCTTTAGAAAATGACGTCTTTTAGTCCCTAATATAGGCCACCCAACCAACAAGTTGAGTGTCCTGGGCCATGAAGTGGCCTTAGGTCACTTGAGTGGCCATGTGGAGTCTGGACCGACAAGAGCCATTATCCCACCTGCCACCTCTGGAGGAGTCAGGGATGCGGCCCTAGGTGATGACGACCATCAAATCCTATGTTATGTCATCACTGCAATCCCTTAAAGCTTGTTTGGGCAAGTAATGACATCCCCCAAAACAAAACTGTCAGTCAATTACAAACAGCCGTCCTAATTCTAGGACATACAATATACCCCATTAAAGGAGCTGAAACACGCTGAGTTTAATATCATGATATAAGTGTGTAGAAAAAATTCAACCAATTTGGACAATTCCTTCTGGTGGTCACCCTCTTCTACACCTTTAATATATATATATATATATATATATATATATATATATATATATATATATATATATATATATATATATATATATACACGAACTGTCTCGTAAATTGGGTACGAGTTGACATGTTCTGTTGGGTACGAGTTGCAGCACCCTTCCCACACTGCTTCCTTCCCTCCTACACATCCGTACTGGCTACTCCTTCCTCCCTCTCTTGCTTCTAACTTCCCTTCCTCTTCCTATCTCCCTCACTACCTCCTCCCAACATCTACTAACTCTTCACTTCTCACGGAACAAAATACGATAACAATACACAACTCACAAATATCATCAAATGTTGCAAAAGAAGGTGACAGCCGTTGCAAGGAGAGAATTTGAGGTTAAAATAGACAAACGCACTGCTTTAAATGGACAGACACAAGACACGAGTTGACTTTGGTTGAAAGTGTTTATGTTTATCAGTGACAACGAGCCTAAAGTATTTATCAAACCTAAACTGTATATTAATTATCTAAAGCAATTAAATGTGGTTATATTATAGTTTGGGTTAATTATTGTTATTTTTAATTAGTTTAGTTTTTTTAAGTTTAGTTGTGGAAGGCGGTTTAGTGTCGTTGTGTGGTGGGTCCATGAATGGCCTTTCCTCTATAGCTCTACTCTCATCCCTCCACCTATCACCCCTCCCTCTATAGCTCTACTCTCATCCCTCCACCTATCACCCCTCCCTCCCTCACCCTCCACCTATCACCCCTCCCTCCCTCACCCTCCACCTATCACCCCTCCCTCCCTCACCCTCCACCTATCACCCTCCCTCCCTCCACTCACCCTCCCTCCACCCTCCACCCATCACCTCCCTCCCTCACCTCCACCTCACCTCCCTCCTCACCCTCCCTCCCTCACCTCCACCTATCACCCCTCCTCCCTCACCCTCCACCCACCCTCTCCCTCCCTCACCCTCCACCTCATCCCTCTCACCTCCCTCACCCTCCACCTCCCCTCACCTCTCACCCCTCCCTCCCCCACCTCCACCTATCACCCTCCTCCCTCACCTCCACCCACCCTCCCTCCCTCACCCTCCACACCCACCTCACCTCCCTCACCTCCACCTATCACCCCTCCCTCACCCTCCACCTATCACCCCTCCCTCCCTCACCTCCTGTACACTAGACAATAATAGCTGATATAGCACTTTATTTTAAGCTTTTACACAGTTATCAGCTTAATAACTGTTTGAGTGGACAGTCATTTCTCTTAGCTTAATAACTGATTATGGAGTCATTCCTCTCAGCTTAATAACCAGTTGAGTGGTCAGTCATTCCTCTCAGCTTAACTGGTTAAGTGGACAGTCATTCCTCTGTTACACACTGTTGACAAGTACTGTACAGACTCTTGAATGTACTCAAATTTACCTGAACATGTGGTGAACAGTGTTGGTCAGGTGTGGTCTGTAAGGAGTGTTCATATATCAGTTTTGAAGAGTTTTATTACTTCATACAAGTACAATGATGCCATTATGTGGAGATGAAACAATTACACATAGACAATCTTCATAAAAAACAATGACAAATTATAACATGGGTAGTAAGGATTGTTACTTAAACCTGGTGTATGTAGGCACATGTACACAGGTTAAATAGACACACATACACAGTGTAAGTAGGCACACACACACACAGTGTAAGTAGGCACATGTACACAGTGTAACTAGGTACACATACACAGTGTAAGTAGACACACATAAACAGTGCCTTAATGTTTGTGTTTACAGTCCCTCAACAAACTAACACACACTAAACACAAAAATTCAATGCATCAGTTTTAATCAACTGTGGTGACCTGGGAGAGGAAAAAATTAAGGCTGGTTGTGGTCCATGCTTAACATTCCTCCTTCAAGTGTCAGGATAATGTCTCCGAGGACACTGTGAAGAATATGGTTATGTGTAGACAATATTGGTGTACCGAGTATATGCATGTTGTTGATGTACAGTATAACACAAACATCAAGGTATTTCTGTAAACACTGTCCATATTTTTAGTAATTTTAGCATAATTATAAAAATAATTCCTCCAATTATACATAGTAAGCTGATACAGTGCAGCACTGTTCTGTATCAGGCCGAGTCTTTTTCTGTCTTTGGGTTGTACGTACAGTAACGACCCCCATCAGGTCAAAATGCCATTTTATATCAAATAATAGACTAGATAAGCCGTCCAAGCAAATGAGAAACACATACACACACCTATAATTGGTCCTTAACGAGTCGTACGGTGAAAGAAACGTTTACTGACGCCACGTGGACAAACGACTGAAGCACAAACGACACCAGCAACTTCCATGACTGACATCCAACGTTACCTCGAGCACATAAGGTAACACCGGTTCATTAGTCACTGCGTTTTTACCGTGTATTTATTGTACTCGACACAGGAAATTGGAGGGCAGACCATACTTTGTACATGAGCGCTGAGTCGTCTCCATCAGAAAATTTCGGCTGTCTGGCCCCTGGGAACAGATGCCTCTATATTCCAAGTACTGTGGGAGTCGACACAAAGAACGACACGGGTAGGTGGACTGTTCCCTCTAAACAGAATCCCTACAACAAAAGCATCGAACGCCCCCGTGCAGCATTCAGAACATCCCTCAGCATTTAGCGGGAGATTACACTGAGGTACATTTAAGCTGATAGAAAACTATACACTAATTCTTGTTCTGACTAATCCTGACTTTCAACATTTATGTAAAGCTTTAAAAAGTGTTGAATAATGTTAAGGTCAGAGAATTCCTCTTCCTCCTCCTCCTTGCCTCCACAGCTGAGAGCAGACAAAGGGTCACGGGGTCACATAACTACAGTACCATGACCTGTAATCGAGTAAGCCACCATGTGTGATCATACAAGGTTGACGATGTGTCTCATTATTTGTGTTTGTTGACATAAATAATTGTAACAGGCCTGAGTATTTCATGGCTAATGTGGCTGCTACTGCTATCTGTCTGGCCATAGTGTTCCTCACAACACCTAACCCTACATTGATAGTTAAGGATTTCCTACTACACTACTCCTCCTGATGTGTGTAAAAATGGAACACACGGACCATATGTGCAAAAATGGAACACAGGGATCATGAAGCACTCACCGATGATGGCCGATGTCCCTACAGCTAACTTCCACTGATGACGGCTGCCATCTCTACAGCTAACTTCCACTGATGATAGCTGCCGTCCCTACAGCTAACTTTCACCGATGATGGCCGACGTCCCTACACTTAACTTCCACTGATGATGGCCGCCGTCTCTACAGCTACCTTCCACCGATGATGGCTGCCATCTCTACAGCTAACTTCCACTGATGATGGCCGCTATTTAAGGGTTAATCCACAACAAGCACCGCACCCAACAGCCTGACTCAGCTGACACTCGCTACACCTAGACCCAGAAGTATATATATATCTTACTGTACACAAATACACAAAGTCCTTAAACCTACACCATTACCACCGTACTTGTTCCTTTGGTTGACACGCGGCCCAAACAACACTGACGGTAAAATGTTTGGCACAGAAGATATAAATTGTAAATATGAGATCAATTTGTTACTGCAATAAGGAATACATTTGGTTATATTAGCTAGGATTAGTTAGGTGTGTCTGTGTGTGTCTGAGTGAGAGAAAGACCAGAGAGACTGAGAGAAATAGACAGGCAGACAGACATGCAGAGAGAAAGAGTGATAGACAGAGAGAGATAATAAGACAGATGGACAAAGACAGAAAAACAGACACACACACAAATTTAAACACATCACATACCTCTTATTCATCAACTTTAATAATTAGACTAAATATGACCAACTTTGACACCACCAAAACTGACAAGAAAATTTTGGCATCAAATTTTATTCTCGTTTTCATCTTTGGAATCATACTTTGAGAGCCCCCCCACCCTAATTTTCATTACTGCTAAAATATTAAATGGTTTACATATTATACACACTAACCTAACCTAACCCAACCTAACCTAACCTAACCCAACCTAATGGTAATCTAACTTAAGCTGTCCCAACCTAACTTAATGTAATGCAATAGAATACCCTAACAGTGACCCAATACTAACCTAACCTAACAACAGGGAAAAACCATCCCTATGGATTTAAAGATTGTGACATAATATTCCTCAACAGCCCATCAAATGTAAACTAATCATAATAGTATCAGTAATTCAATCAACAATACAGCACAGGTTTTCCTATTTACTTCTTCATAACTATCTAAGTCATTATACTGTAGATACAATGAATAATTTCCAAATGAATGGGAAAATTTATATAATACAATGATGAATGAATAGCACACATGAATAATACCGAGGGGGTTATATGTTACAGGTCTTTCAGATCAAACTCACTCAATTACGTATCCTTACAGAGGTGTACGTTAAGTTTCAATATGAACACTATGACCCCTGGTGTCTCTAGGGTCGCCAGAATCCTTCATACATTGTGTCGTATTGTCTCACTCAATCGTACGTATATTTTTTTTGAGCACGTGTACATCGATTAATGAGAAATTTACCTTGAGACTTTTTATAATCAAACCAAACGTGAACATTGATAAATAAAAAAACATTCTGACGATCATTTTTCTTTAGGGAACGTGAACTTTTTTAGCTGTTATGTGGTCAAGCTAGCTAACCAGTGGGTAGAGTAGGGGATAAAAAAGTTTACTCCATTGGTTAAACGAGTCACAGAGAGTCTTCGAACTTGCTTACCCAGACTGTGGGAGCTTTGTGTGTGTTATTTAATCTCACTTGTGGTCGACGTTGTTTCATTTTCCGAGGGAGCGAACTTTTGACCTCGACTCTACATAGACGCATTTCCCTCACTCACTGCATTAAAATTAACAAGTAAAAAATAATATTTGACACATTAAATTTATCCTCAATACAAATTCAATTATGTACACATTTCTATACACATTAATATATATAATAAACATTAATATAAATTTCCTCTCTTTGGTTAACTTAAAATTTATATGATAATTCAAAAGAACTTAATATCCAACATGTTAATTACTCATTGGCTAAAAGAACATAATACTGAATATATTATTAACTTAAAAAAATTAACAGAATGAGACACCCTGTACACATATGGGTGACTTATGAGACACCCTGTACACATATGGGTGACTTATGAGACACCCAGTACACATATGGGTGACCTATGAGACACTCTGTACACATATGGGTGACTTATGAGACACCCTGTACACATATGGGTGACCGATGAGACACCCAGTACACATATGGGTGACCTATGAGACACCCTGTACACATATGGGTGACCTATGAGACACCCAGTACACATATGGGTGACCAATGAGACACCCAGTACACATATGGGTGACCTATGAGACACCCTGTACACATATGGGTGACCTATGAGACACCCAGTACACATATGGGTGACCAATGAGACACCCTGTACACATATGGGTGACCTATGAGACACCCTGTACACATATGGGTGACCTATGAGACACCCTGTACACATATGGGTGACCTATGCGACACCCTGTACACAGACGGGTGACCTATGAGACACCCTGTACACATATGGGTGACCTATGAGACACCCTGTACAGTGTTAAGCCATATTCTTGACTTCCGTTCACCAGCAACAGAAACTCACAACAAAAACACCATTTTCCGTTCCTCGCAGTTCACTTTCCGCGTCGAGAGTGACCCGAGGACTGTTTTAGGAAAGGGGTCCAATATATTCACTTACATACTTAAAAGTGAATCATTATATTTACTTTATGACAGCTTAATAGATCAATTACTTAATAGTGATTGTAAGTAAATTATCTGAATAAACCATAAGTAATAGTGTACTTAAAAGGGAGTTATTGATTCCCCTGTAAGTACTAACTGATGTTATGTACTTAAATGTGATTCACTTATTTATTTTTCTAAGCATAGACTTGAATATATCACATACAGTACTTGAGAATGATATTGGACTTTGATTCACCTGATGATCAGTGACACCTTTATGCTACCTGGGTAGGGTCGGGTTGAGTTAGGTAGGGTAGGGTCGGATTGGGTTAGGTTGGGTAGGTTAAGTCAAGTTAGGTTAGCATTAGTGTTGTTAATCTTAAGGTGAAATAAATGGGGGAGGGAGATAATATTGAGGTGTTTTCATACTAATATTATCATCACCAGCTAGAGTTAATGCCTCTGTGAATACACCAAGTCATTCTGGCAGCCATTATAAATGAACTATAAATAAAAACATTCCCTCAATGGACATACATTGAACTGCAACCAAAAAACAGGAAGATAAGAAATAGAAAATGATGAATGGAATGAGGTGACTAAAGACGAAGATGACTGATGTTAAACTATTTACAAAGTAGCGCAACAATATATAATTATAATATTTTCTTAAGTAGGTTCAGTTTGTAGTAGTGAGGATATGATATTACCCTTATTTGAGGTTGAACTGATGAGGACTGTTGGGAGGTGTGTGGTGGTGGTGTTTGTGGCATACTGGAGGAGGAACTGACTGTGTTCAAGTGATAAGTAGTACCTCCAACACCTGCAGTGAACCTTGAAGACCTGCAGTGAGCCTTGAACACCTGCAGTGACCCTCCAACACCACAGGCCTTGTCATAACATCTTGGCCTGGGATTCACATCTACCAGTAACAGTCATGTTTTTAAACCCCAATAATAAGATGTTTGGGCTGTGTTGATGTACATGGACAAATACATCTTCCTTTAAATAATATTCTGTGACTCTCCTTTACTACTGCTTTAAGAAATGTTGTTCGTCCATCACACTTCTCTAATAAAGTAATTTACACTAACCCAAATTCTATTAGATAATAAAATATATGATAACTTTGGCCCTTAATAAAGTAGATGTGTAGCTACAAGTAATACTGTGAGCCATACTGTACTGATATGTTGACTTATGATATTGATTAATTTACTGTACTATCTTAAGAAGTACTGCACAAACATGTATGTAAGATTATTATTCCTTACAGGACACAAGACCAGGGACGCTCACACTGACCCTTGGCCAAACATTCACCAGGTGTGGACGGGACTAAAGTTTCTCTCCTGTTGAGCAGCGAGGGCGGGAGTGGCCGCTCCAACACACTCCCGGGTTACTGTGTGAGACAGTTTGTGTCGGTGTTGTACTAGAGGGAACACCGAGTCTGGCACGGCGACGACAACGCTCCGGGTCCACGCCGACCGTCCTCACACGTTTGTGTTGTATTTAGACTCGTGCGTCAGACGGGAAAAACTTCCGGTGTTATACTTGGGGACGGCACCGGATGCCGCTCTCAGGCTCACCGACCGACCCACGGGCTGTCTCGCGAGCCCCGTGCCGTACATGTTGCCGGAGTCTCCGAGGTGACCGTAAATCTTTTGACCGGTCGTCCGACCGTAAATGTCCTGAAGCGAACTCTGGTGAATGGCACTTGATGGCACGGCACCCTGGGGGATGGGGGGAAGAGGGATCTGGGGTGCCTGGGGCAGCTTGAGGGACCCGCTGGACCCCGACGTGGTGCGGCCGTACACGCTCTGTGGACCGTGAGAACTAAGTCTTGGACTGGAGCGACCCGTGTGGCCGTAGATACTCTGGATGCCGTTGTGAGTCTTCTGGCCGTATATCGGCTGTCCGGGGGCGAATGTGACTGCTGGATGCTGAGGAACGGGAGAATTACTGGAACTGTTGCTGCCGCTGCTGACGTTGGCACTGCCACTGTGATAACCGCTGGAGTTTGTCGACTGACTGCTGTTAAAATTGTTCTGTGCCACGGCCATCAAGTCCTCATTCACGATCTTCTTCTTGGCGTCCAGTTGCTGTTGGTCGGTGAAGGACGTCAGGGGCCTCGTGCCGTAGATCGGGTCCACGGGCGGCTTGATCTCCTGGGTCAGATTGCGTTGCCTCCGGATCACCACGGTCGACTCGGCTGCCGGGTACAGGACGGAGCCCGGCACTGGCGAGACCGTCCCGGCAACATTCCCCGCAACACAGGTGTATCCGTAGGGGCTGCCGGGAGAGGAGCTCATCGGTGGACGCTGCATTGACATGGCCTTTGGTGGGGCCATTACGTGGCTGGAGTCTGGAGGCAGTTGTGTGAGGTCATCCACGCTGTTGGACCTGTGAGAGAGAGAGAGATGACTTATTGGTAGAAGATAGGTAGATAGATAAATAAATATATTAACAGGTAGACAGATAGAATGAAAGACAGACTGGCACACAAACATTTAGACACAGATAGATAAAGACTCAAAGACAGGTAGATATAGATACACAGAGAAAAAACAGATGCTTATATAACAGACAGAGACAGACAGACAGATGCTATTACTGTACACACACACAGAGATAAAAAGACAGATACAGACAGAAAGAAGAAAACTGATAAACACAGATATTTATAGAGAGACAAAGACACAGACAGACAGCTCTAGTTATCTCACCTATTTCTCATAATGTCCGTGGCCCCAGAGTGGACCCCAGACTCCTCGGAATTCTCTGGAGGGGTGTTAGAGGAGGAGGTGGACACAGAGTCGCTGCGTTGAGAGCGATCTTCGTGTACCATCCCTGAGTCGTTGCTCCGTGTGCTGCGTGGAGTCATGGGGCCCTGTAGTGTGGAGATAAACACGTGAATTGGGAGTCACCATCAGTTGTATATTAGCCTAACTTAACCTTACCTAAAAATACCCTGAATCTAACCTAACCAAACACTATTGTCTATTCATAAAGGTCTGATGAGATATGTGGTGTAAAAATATACATTTGCTTGGTATTGTATAAATATTGTGGATATAAGAATTTATTGTACTATAATAAATATATTTTGTATAAGAATTATTGTTTTTCATGTAGGTAGGCAATTTCTCTTCAGACACAGGTGACGTTGTTGTTGTGGCGGTTGTGGTAAAGTACGTTCTGGACAAGAAAATTTAATATTCCGTACATGTAGTTAGTTTTGCTATTTGGTATATACCTGTATATTGATTAATGTTTGGATATTCTTTGTAAGCAAGAGTCTTCAGAAATAGATATCGTAATTGTATGAAGCAAATTTATAGGATTAAAGTATTGTTTTCAGTGTATGTGGGCCATTTGTCCCTTGTGGTCGCTGGCTGGATGGACTGGAGAACCTTGTATTGTGCTCGTGTTCATTTGGAGGGTTATGATGTGAGTTTGAGTTAACATTATTTTTGATTGGATCATTATTCATTAACAGTATAGATTACATTAAAAATTATAAGGTTCTTGTTAAATATTTCTAGAGCTAATGTATATTTTATATTTGTGTTTTTATGATTTGTTTTATTGCATGTTGCTTCACAGGCTGAAACTTACTTCAACTAAATTGGTGTTACTGCCCAACAACTGTCATAATGTAATCTAACCTAACACACCACTAATCCTAACTGATCACTACCTTAAGCTAACACACCCCTTATACTAACTGACCACTACCTTAACCTAACACACCACTAATCCTAACTGATCACTACCTTAAGCTAACACACCCCTTATACTAACTGACCACTACCTTAACCTAACACACCCCTTATACTAACTGACCACTACCTTAACCTAACACACCCCTTATACTAACTGACCACTACCTTAACCTAACACACCCCTTATACTAACTGACCACTACCTTAACCTAACACACCCCTTATACTAACTGACACTACCTTAAGATTATACTAACTGACCACTACCTTAACCTAACACACCCCTTATACTAACTGACCACTACCTTAACCTAACACACCCCTTATACTAACTGACCACTACCTTAACCTAACACACCCCTTATACCAACAGTACGGCCCGCGGGCCACATTTGGCCCGCCAAATTATTTCTGTGGCCCGCCACTGCATTTGGCAACCAGAAAAAAAATTCTTATTAATTACAGAAAGGGCAATTTTGGAAGTTGGGTGGACATACCAGCAATACTGGCTCGTCGCTATTAACCTGTGGCCCGCGAAGTGTGCCACCATTCATGAAGTGGCCCTCCATCAAAAATAATTGCCCACCCCTGCCTTATACTAATGCTAAACTAACCTTACCCTATCCTAACACTACCCTATCCACATTACCCTAACACATATCCTAACCTAACCTAATGTACCCTAACTTAACTTTACCCTAACAAGTTTACATTAACTAACAATGTTTACAGGCAACTCAGTATTACAGTGAAACCTCCCTATAATGGACTTCTCTCTCCAAATCATTCGTTAGATGGAGGTTTCACATCTAACGGACCCTCGATATAATGAACTTTCACCTCTATATAGTTCGTTAGATGGAGGCTTCACATCTAACGGACCCTCGATATAATGGATTTCCCTCTCCATTCAGTCCGTTAAATTGAGGTTTCGCTGTACATGAACACTGCCGTACCTGAGACTCGAGGTGATGGGAGGTGAGGGGGCTGCGCAGGTGGATGTGATCCGCGTCTTCGTAATCTGAGACGGTTGTGGCGTTGGTGGTGGTTGTTCTGGTGGTGATGGGAGTGGCAGACATCTTTGCCTCCATAACACGGCGGTAAGCAAGAATCTATAAGAATAAAAATAACGTTAAAGTAAAGTGTTGCGTTAGGTTAGGTTACGTTATGTTATGTTAGGTAAAAATTGGTTGGGTTATGGTTGAGTTGGGTTTTGCTTGGCTAAGATTGGGTTGGATTACACCGAGTTGGATTACATTTGGTTTGGTTATGGGCAAGTTGGGTTTCGTTTGGTTTAGGTTAGATTAGGTTCGATTACTTCGCGTTAGGATAGGCTGGGTTATGATGGGTTCGATTAGATGGGTCAGGTTTAGTTGGATTAGGTTAGTGCCCAGTTACATTAGGTTAGGTTAGGGTAGTTAATCATTAGGTTAGGTGAGGTTAGTTAATCATTAGGTTAGGTTAGGGTAGTTAATCATTAGGTTAGGTGAGGTTAGTTAATCATTAGGTTAGGTTAGGGTAGTTAATCATTAGGTTAGGTTAGGGTAGTTAATCATTAGGTTAGGTGAGGTTAGTTAATCATTAGGTTAGGTTAGGGTAGTTAATCATTAGGTTAGGTTAGGGTAGTTAATCATTAGGTTAGGTTAGGTTAGGTTAGTTAATCATTAGGTCAGGTTAGTTAATCATTAGGTTAGGTCAGGTTAGTTAATCATTAGGTTAAAATATTAGGTCAGGTTAGGTTAGGAAATCATTAGGTTAGGTCATTAGGTCAGGTTAGTTAATCATTAGGTGAAATCGTCTGGGGTGGAAATTCTTCAGGTGTTCCGAGAATCGTCAGCCGTCAATCAAGGTGTCTAAACCTACGAACGAAAACATAAACAAACAACCCACCTGTTGTCTGTCTACATATCTCGGGTCTCCGTTGTGTCGTGGCTCGTTAGTGGTCTCCGAGGTCTCTGTCAACAGGGCGTAGTCTCCGGCCTCGTCCTCCGAGTCTGATAGTGTTGTGACGCGGCGGTAAGTTGACTCTTCGACTTTGGGCTGTTTGGTTAGTCTGCCTTTCCTGTGAGGGTCATTGAGGGGTTAAGTTCTTGTTCCTGTTAATTATTACTGGGTCTATGTATGTATGTATGTATGCATGTATGTATGTATGTATGTATGTATGTACTGTATATATGTATGTATGTATGTATGTATGTATGTATGTACTGTATGTATGTACTGTATGTATGTCTACTCTATCAATCTATCTATCTAATCTATCAATCAATCTATCAATCCATCTATCTATCAACCTTTTTCAATCTATCAAACAAATAAATCATTAAGAAAACCTCCCCAGGTATGTAGTCGTTTACTCACCTGGGGGACGTAACGATGCCGCCCTCGTCAAAGGTGACCTTGGCCCGGGGTGACATGGGTTTGCCCTGGCCGTGTGTGGGCTGGCTCGGCCGTAGCCAATAGATTTCCTCTTCTTCTCCCCGTGCTCGCTTCTCCTGGTGTGTCTGTGGTGGTGGTATGGGGTTGAGTAATGGATAGATGAATAGATGGATAGGGAGGGATAGACGGATAGGTAGAGAGAGTTATCGGTAGATAAGTAGAGATAAATGGGTAAATAGGTAGATACATGGATAGGTAGAGAGATATATATGCAGAGATAGATGGATAAGTAGAAATAGATGGATAGATATGTAGGCTTAAGAATTTTTTTTTTACGGGAATTAGCCCACCCAGGCACAGGTCAAACGGCCCACAACGGGGCCTGGGGGGCGAAAAAAAAAAGAACAGAAATAAATTAAAAATAGAGAACAAAAAGGTTATATTGTGTTAATCTACACCACGAAGATGCCAGAAAACCAGCTTCTTTAAAGTGAGACAGATTGTATAAGTATGGAAACAGAAGAAGCACTCCACAGTTTGGCTGTGTGAGGAAAGAAGGAGGTACTATAATGGGTTATTCTCGTGTGACCGACATCCACAGAGAAAAGGTGGGCACCGCGGGCAAGACGTGTGTTACGAGCCCACGGCCTTGGCGGCGGTACACGGGATGCCAAATCCACCGAACATTGCCCGTTAAAGTACCTGTAAAAAAGAGTGAAGCAACATTGCAGCGAAGAGAAAGGGAAGAGAGATTGTCGACTAAAGGAGGAGAGTTAATAAGACGAAATGCCTTTGATTCCACCCTATCTAATAGTTGGACAGAAGAAGAGCCAACCCAGATATGAGAGCAGTACTCCAAGTTAGGACGAATGAATCCCTTATATACTTGGAGCAACTGCTTAGGAGTGAAGTAGCTATGGCACCTGTACAGCATTCCCAACTTTCAGGAGGAAGCTTTAGCTATACTAAGGATGTGTGATTTCCAGGACATATTAGAGGAAATGGTGAGGCCTAACATATTTATTTCAGAATTTGGCAGGATGTTAGCGTCCTGAAATGTAATTGGTGGGAGATCGTCTAATTTACAAAGCGTAATTGGTAAATATTGAGTTTTATTACTATTGAACTGAGAGATAAAAAGATTAAAAACAGATAGAAAACAGAAAAGGACAGAGAAATAGATAAATGGTTGTTAGATAAGTAGACAGATAGATAAACAGGTAGACAGAAGCATTAAAACAAGACACACTAACAATATTGACAAAAATGCTAGATATATAGATAACAGACAGAAAGACAAATAGATTGAGACAGAGATAGACAGACAGATAGATAGATAAACAACAGATGGATAGACATACAATAGACAGATACATAAATAACAGATGGATAGACAGATAGACAGACAGATGGATAGACAGACAATAGACAGACAGATATATAAATAACATATGGATAGACACAGATAGATAAATAATAGATGGATAGATAGACAATAGAAAAAGATAGTAAATAGACAGACAGAAGGACAGACATGTGCCAAGACCTCACCTTCTGCACTACGTTCATTATGGTGTTTTTGGGAGTGGAGTCATTAATGGCATAGGCTTTCCCCAACCCAACCACCAACAGCGGGGTCTGAGCCTGTCGTTGAGGGTCCGCCGAGGCCAGTTCCACGTCGTTCACCAGCTTGATGGAACGAGCGGACGATACACACGCTCGGGCTACAGTCACTCGGAGCTTGAACGTCCACGATGACTGTTGGTAGGGCAGTTAATTGCTTTATTCTGGATAAGGTAAATTTATTTATTTTTATTTTTACAGGGAATAGCACACCCAGGCACAGGACATCGAACCACAAAGGACACTCTGTATATTAAACTTTATGGGACACACTGTATATTAAACTTTATGGGACACACTGTATATTAAACTTTATGGGACACTCTGTATATTAAACTTTATGGGACATCCTGTATATTAAACTTTATGGGCCACTCTGTATATTAAACTTTATGGGACATCCTGTATAATAACCTTTTGGGACACTCTGTATATTAAACTTTATGAGACATCCTGTATATTAAACTTTATGGGACACTCTGTATATTAAACTTTATGGGACACTCTGTATATTAAACTTTATGGGACATCCTGTATAATAACCTTATGGGCCACTCTGTATATTAAACTTTATGAGACATCCTGTATATTAAACTTTATGGGACACTCTGTATATTAAACTTTATGGGACACTCTGTACAGTATAGTCACTTAACAATGTAAACTAACATTATAATGAGCATTTTTCCCATTTTTTATGTTTTTATTCTATTAATGAATCATGTCAAACTAAAACACAGTTATTATTAAGAAATATATAAAAACTTACAATCAAATAACAAATTGTCAATAAATATATCAGTTATGGCATTCTTGAACCATTAATCTCCCATTGACTTGAGTGTCATTATATTGTGATTTTTTCCATGATGTAACTACCTCGTTATAGAAGAAACGACTATAGTGTAATTAATCCAGGATATTTACATACCTTAACAGTCAACAACAGCCACAGAACAATCCACAGAAACAGGTGAACGATTGTACCGATGACAGCGGCCAGAACGACGGCATCTAACGACCCCCTGTACACCAGTGACAGATCCCAGAGCAGCGGCCCGTGGGAGACCCCCAGAGCCACCAGGACAACAAGGGCGGCGCAGTGTGGTGCGTACGGCCTGACAGATCCCGGCTCATTCTCGTACTGAAATTGTGACGCTGGATTAGTGATGTGGATTAGAAGGATTATGTGATGATTAACTACCCTGGGGATTAATGTTTTACCTGTTGATTAAATGTTCTAGGAATTAGATTGGGTTGGGTTAGGTTAGATATGGTTTGGTTAGATTAGGTTAGATATGGTTTGGTTAGATTAGGTTAGATAAGACTGGACTGGGTTAGGTTAGGTCAACATCAGGGCATTTATTTAATCATTGGGTGAAACAAGCCGGGGTGGCTAATCTTCAGGTGATCTCTTTATTTATTTTTTCGTGTTTTAAAATATTAACAACAAAATAAAACAACTATCAATTAAATTAACCCGTCAATACCAACAACAACAAGGTGCTCTACAAAATGGTAGTTAAAAATGATAACTAAATAGATAAGTAACTTAATTTTAACGTGTTAATTAGGATGTCTGAAAGCTATCAAGATTAACTAGGCTTTAACCCCTTGAAAGATGGATTAAAGTCATTATCTAGGTCATGTATATTGTGCACATATTTATACAGACACATACATACATACAGAAACTTCCTACATACAGATACATACATAATACATACATGCATAATACATTCATGCAGATACAGTACAATCATACAGACATAGATACATACATACATGCATAATACATACAGTATATACATACATACATACAAGACACACACACCATAATGTTATATATTTGGACAGTTAGTCTGTTAGTTATCTTAGTATTACACCCTTGTGCTGTATCCAGTACGCGTTCATTAAGACTCACTGTTATATGATATCGCTGTCGGCTCTTCACCACAAAGTCGGTAAACCTCTGATAGCCGTAGAAATATATAGCGGAGGACGACACGGTCACCACCATTACGGAGACCACTAGGAGACCGACCGTCGACGGTAAGTTGAGGAGGAAATTCTCGCTGCCATGGAGTTCTTTCGCACTGTTACACACGTGAAGCTGAAATGAAGGCGATGTTGGTTGGGTGTTTTGTACAGGTGTGGTAATTAGGACATTGCAAGTAACTTATACAGGTGTGGAAAATTACCATAGAATATTGTTGATGATGATGGATGATGATGATGGTGATAGTGTGGTGATAATGATGACAATAATAATAATGATGACCCAAAAAATCACGTAACCCATTGTAACAAAAAAAAAACACTACAGTACTTTAACACAACACAGTACAGTACTCAATATACCACCATATCACTCACAATAACTAGGTACTATACCAACCTTGTAGAGTATGGTGAAGGCAGTGATGGTGAGGATAGTGTGGATGCCATTCACTATCAACTGGAGGGAGAAGAGGAGACCAAATGCCTTGTTGGTATGCCAGAAGACTGATGGATACCTGGTGAGAAATAATGGATATAATGTTATTAATGTTATCCTACTTAGAGGGTTAGGATAGGATAGGTTAAGGTTAGGTTAGTGTTAGGATAGGTTTGGTTAAGGTTAGGATAGGTTTGGTTAAGGTTAGGTTAGAGTTAGGATAGGTTTGGTTAGGTTAGTGTTAGGATAGGTTTGGTTAGGTTAGTGTTAGGATAGGTTTGGTTAAGGTTAGGTTAGTGTTAGGATAGGTTTGGTTAAGGTTAGGTTAGTGTTAGGATAGGTTTGGTTAGGTTAGTGTTAGGATAGGTTTGGCTAGGTTAGTGTTAGGATAGGTTTGGTTAAGGTTATGTTAGTGTTAGGTTAAGTTAGATTAGCATTAGGGTAAATAACCTTTAGGTGAAATAAGCTGGGGGTGGAGATTCTTCAAGTGATCCAAATTAAACTGATGACAGAAGCACCTGTAGGCCTCAAAACACACCACCTGTGACTGCCTGAGGACTTATCATACACCTACAAGAACCTGTGGCTTTAAGACGAACCAATTCTGCCAAAAGTCGCGAAAAAAACCAAAGACAGACTCACCTGATAGCGAACACCAGGAGAGCAATGGTGTAATTGAGTAGTTCGGGTGACAGCGGACTCCACTTCCCGTCCTCCGGTAGCCTGGCATAGGAGATCTTCCCCCCATCCTTAACCACTGAGTCCGGAATGGGTGGACCTCTTCTCTCTAGGGCTTGTGGGTCGTAGGGGTTGTTCCCTATTTTAGTGAACCTTTCCTCCACTCTCACACCACTCGTTGGCTCTCCCACTCTCACACCACTCGTTGACTCTCCCACTCTCACACCACTCGTTGACTCTCCCACTCTCACACCACTCGTTGACTCTCCCACTCGAACACCAGCCGTTGACTCTCCCACTCGAACACCAGCCGTCAACTCTCCCACTCGAACACCACTCGTCGGAATCAACTTCGGATTGGGGCGTTTCTGGAAGCTGTTGACCTGTATGGGGTTCACTGTTGTGGTCTCTGAATTGATGGATGGAAGGAGTGTGGGGTCGCGGATGGACGATGGAAGCTCAGTTTTGATGGTGGCGTTGACGTGGAGTACCATAAGGCGGTCGTTGTGGGGTACGAGGAAGTCCAGATCTGTTCGCCATATCTCGTCTGCAAGAAATAAATAAATAAATAAATAAATGAAGAAAATTAAATATAAACAAACAAAAAAATAAAAATACCAAATAAAACAACAAAAAAATACAAAAATTAGGTCAGGTTAACGTTAGATTAGTGTTAGGTCAAGTTAGGTTAAGATTAGATTAGTGTTAGGTTAACGTTAGATTAGTGTTAGGTCAAGTTAGGTTAAGATTAGATTAGTGTTAGGTTAACGTTAGATTAGTGTTAGGTCAAGTTAGGTTAAGATTAGATTAGTGTTAGGTTAACGTTAGATTAGTGTTAGGTCAAGTTAGGTTAAGATTAGATTAGTGTTAGGTTAAGTTAGATTAGTGTGAGGTTAAGATTAGATTAGTGTTAGGTTAAGTTAGGTTAAGTTAGATTAGTGTTAGGTTAGGTTTGTGATAGATTAGGGTTAGATTAGCATTTGGTTAGGTTAAATTACCTATGGGTAGGTTAGATTAGCAATAGGGTGCTTAAACATCAGGAGAAATAAGCTGGGGGCTAATCTTCAGGTGATCCTTGAGTCAGATATGAGTAGGGTGTTATTCAGTGGACCCGACCAAACATGGCAGGTTGTCTCCAGGTTTAAGCAGAACAATACAAATATCTTTTAATTTTACTCCAGAAGCAGCCAGCAGGAACATTAATGGCACAAGAATTTAATTAAATGTTTCGTGGTTCGTTCCTGCATTCCTTACACACACACACACACACGACTTACTCACATATACTGTACATAATCCTTAAGAAAACACACTAATATTTTAACCTCTTTACATTAATACAGGATTTAAACTCAATACAGCGCACCAAAACAAACAGTAAATAATATAACAGCGTAAACAAAAACATTAGTTATACCAAGAATCATGACAAAAAAGTTAATATTGACGACTAATCCACCAATAACATATATCAATGCCTCAGTCATGTCAATGCATCTTAAATTTATTCTCTTTGCTATCCATCGGTCTACCACTTGGGCGGTCAATTATGGGCATATACCGGGTATATTGGACATGTACTGGGCATGTTGAGCAAGTACTGGGCGTGTACTAGGCATATTGGGCACGTGCTGGGCATATTGGGCAAGTACTGGCTCTACTGGGCATGTTGAGCAAGTACTGGGCGTGTACCCCCAGGCATATTGGGCACGTGCTGGGCATGGGCAAGTACTGGCTCTACTGGGCATGTTGAGCAAGTACTGGGCGTGTACTAGGCATATTGGGCACGTGCTGGGCATATTGGGCAAGTACTGGCTCTACTGGGCATGTTGAGCAAGTACTGGGCGTGTACTAGGCATATTGGGCACGTGCTGGGCATATTGGGCAAGTACTGGCTCTACTGGGCATGTCGAGCAAGTACTGGGCATTGTAGTGACTCCTAAACCAGTGTTAGTCTGATAATTTTAAACGAACTTAAACTCTGTAACGCCACATGATGCTCTATGTATACTGTATACTTACCCTGACTATATACATGCTGAAGTAATGCAAATTTGTTGTTAATTTATCCATCTAACTACTTCAGTACACAATCTGCATGACGTCACACATAAACACAAGTTCGTCAGGTATAACGAACCTATTAATATTATTATAACAGTCACACTAATAATAATAATAATAATAATAATAATAATAATATTTCAAGGGCTTCCATAATATAAATGACACACACACACACACTATCACCCCTTAATCATAGAGGTTTCAAGAGATTCACGGTTCACCCTCCATCACCCTCAATGTTATCTCTAAGAGGGAAGTTTGTTGTTTAATTGTGTAGTTATTATTGTTATTATTATTATTGTTATTGTTATTATTATTATTATTATTATTATTGTTGTGGTGGTGGTGGTTCTTCATCATCTTATTATTAGTAGTGGTATTATTATTATCCTTTGCTTTTGCTGTTGTTGTTATTATTTATGTTATTCTCCCTCTCTCCCTATCTATCAATCTATCCATCTATCTATCTACCTCTCCATCCATCTATCTATCTATTCATCTATCTATCTACACCCTGCCCACACCACTTAATACCGCCTTAACCAATTCCCGACTGACCAATCACATTAGAGGTCAAACTACCGCATTAATTAAGACCTACAGACTCAACTAATCACCCATTAGTATCAATTAGTGCCTATTACACCCACCACCACCACCTAGTCCCAATTAATGTATCTCTGGTCCAATTACACCGATGTATGCTTTAACGAGGACGTGTTGTAGTTAGGGCTCTCTCTCTCTCTCATTCTTTCTCTCTATTTATTTCTCTAACTTTCTTTTTCTGGCTCCTTCTTTTCCTTCCTGTCTTCCTGTCTGTCTGTCTGTCTTTCTGTATCACAGGGGCAGATCCAGGAATATCAAAAGGGGGGTCTAAGAAGTTGTAGGTGGGGGAACATGGCGAACACAGCGAGTCCACCCAGCTAGGGGTTTAGGGGGCGCTGCAATCCCCTAGAAAATATTTTGAAAGTTGAACAATATCAGGGACATTTTGAAGCCATTTGAAGCCATCCACACTTGATATTAGGAAACATTCTGAGGTCAATAGTAATTAATTTTTACTATACAATAATGCCTGAGTACAATACTGCATTTAAGAAAAAGTATTGGAACTTCCTGGTAAAAAAGTGAGTCCGGACCCCCATGACCCCCCCCTGGATCCGCCCCTGTATCTTTATCTATACGTTAAGGTAGAAAATTGAACTTAAGAACCTTTGAGACTCCCGGCCCGCGTGTTGGTAGTCCGTAGCTTAAACAAGAGTAGCAGAGCGGCTGGCCATTGATCCATGCCCCTCCCAATGCGGTACTCTCTCTCTTTCTCTCTCTCTCTGTCTGTCTGTCTGTCTCTCTGTCTGTCCCTGTCTGTCTCTCTCTCTTTCTCTTTCTGTCTGCCTCTATTTCTAAGACGTTCTTCTATATTTTAATTTATTTAATATTCACTATCTCTATAACGTAAGACTACTCTGTGTGTGTGTGTGTGTGCGCGCGCGCGAGAGAGAAACTGTCTAAACGACCGTAAGTCCAAACACGTGTTACCCACAATGCTCTTCCCTTTTCTCCCACGCTCCACTACAAAGGGAACCACAATATTTCCACTATACTGAATATTTTCCCTTCAAAAGTCCCGAAAATATTCATCGACCCCCCAAAAGCGACAAAATCCCATACTAAAAGAGAATGGTAAAGTTACCCCTTAATTTTTAGGTCTAAGTTAACGTTTTCTGTTACGTCTGGCGGCTTTGTTTACTCGGCAACACGAGCCTAAAAGTTATTATCAGTTGACTATCTCATACAATGGCGACAGTAAAGGGAGTACGGACCTAAGGCAAGGCGAGAGGGAGAGAGTGGGGGGGTGGGTGGGGGGGGGGGGGGGGGGGGGGAGGGAGAGAGGGAGGGAGAGAGGGAGACGGGGATTTGATACATAAATCACCCGTTGCCGTTTCGTTTTCTCTCAAAAATTTTCGTCTTAGTGTCACCATTTTCCGTCTACTTAAACTCAGCATTATAGGGGAAACGAACGCTATAAAATCCCCTTTATCCAATAACCTGTCAATGAATTTAAATTACGATTACAATAACATAATCTAATAATCTTTAATACGGAACCAACGATAAAAAAAAGGTCCCCCATCTCAAATTCCATAACTATTTTTTTTTAACTTTTTAAGCTTTTCATGGAGGTTGTAACGACAGCTGTCTCAAGCTAAGTACAAGACATCACAAGCTAAAGTATAAATGTCTTTGCTGGAATGGATGTGAGAGGAGAGTGTCTTTGCTGGAATGGGTGTGAGAGGAGAGTGTCTTTGCTGGAATGGGTGTGAGAGGAGAGTGTCTTTGCTGGAATGGGTGTGAGATGAGTGTCTTTGCTGGAATGGGTGTGAGAGGAGAGTGTTGTGAGAGTGTCTTTGCTGGAATGGGTGTGAGAAGAGTGTCTTTGCTGGAATGGGTGTGAGAGGAGAGTGTCTTTGCTGGAATGGGTGTGAGAGGAGAGTGTCTTTGCTGGAATGAGTGTGAGAGGGGAGATGAGTGTCTTTGCTGGAGATGGGTGTGAGAGGAGTGTCTTTGCTGGAATGAGTGTGAGATGGGAATGGGTGTGAGGAGAGTGTCTTTGCTGGAATGAGTGTGAGGAGAGTGTCTTTGCTGGAATGAGTGTGAGATGAGTGTCTTGCTGGAATGGAAGAGATGAGAGTGTCTTTGCTGGAATGGGTGTGAGATGGAAGGTGTCTTTGCTGGAATGGGTGTGAGATGAGAGTGTCTTTGCTGGAATGGGTGTGAGAAGAGTGTCTTTGCTGGAATGGATGTGAGAGGAGAGTGTCTTTGCTGGAATGGGTGTGAGATGAGAGTGTCTTTGTTGGAATGGGTGTGAGATGAGTGTCTTTGCTGGAATGGGTGTGAGAGGAGGAGGAGAGGGTTGGATAAAGGGACATTTGACTTAATTTACCCTTCCGCCACGGCCAGAATCTCCAGGGAGGGGTTGTGTACTGGGGGTGTAACCGATCCAAACAATGACATGCTTACAGGAGGAGTGGGCAGGGGAAGGAGGGAGGGGGGTGGAAGGGGTGGGGAGGGAGGGAGGGAGGGAAAGTGGTGGGAAAGGAGGGGAATGGAAGAGGGAAGGGAAGGGAGGGAGGAGGGAGGGGAAGGAAGGGAGAAAGGGAAGGGAGAAAGGGAGGAAGTAGGGGAGGGGGTACTTTGTATCACAGTATCTTGACTTAAAATACAAACCTAATCTTATTTAGTATAACCTAACCTAATCTAACCTTGAATACGACCTAACTTTAACCTAACCTAAATCAACGTCACTTAACCTAACCCTATCATACACACACACACACCATAATGCCCTCAGCTAACTCAGCTAACAAGATAACTTCCTCAGCTATCATTTAAGTACTAAAGTTTAACCTTAAGTAAAACAATAAAGTAAAAGTTAACAAAAAGTATAAAGGAAATAAAGATGTTTTGGGGGGCGACACTTTC